ATGGCAAGCCCCAGTGGTAGAATCCCAACATGGTTTCATTTTCACTGTAGTTAGCTAAAAAAAAAAAAAAAAAAAGAATCCCAACATGGGCCTTGGATAAAATCATTGCCATTTGTAGCAGTAATTTATATGCCTTTTGAAAAATAACTCCTGATATATTACTGAGGCCTCCTAGAGACTAAGTGCCTGACTATGGGACACCAAGTGACCATACTTCTGGTCACAACATACCTTGGACTGGGTTCTAACAAAGCCAGTAAGTCAAAAAATAAGGCAGAGTTATCAGAAGGCCATTGTAAGATGGATTCTAGAAGCAGAAAACTTAGATCAAACATAGATAGGACAAAAAAGCTGTGTGCCAAGTAGCCCTGTCTTCCATGTCATTTGCCACCACTGTACCAGCACCCCTCCCTCAGATTGTCCTTCACTCCACAAGGAGGATCCCTTATGGCCAAATGATGAAGGAGGGGAAAAATATGAATATTATTTATGGGCGGGCTGGTTTAGTAAGTGAATGCAATGCAAGCCAAGAATGTATGGCCGCTACACTGCAGCCTTGTTCAGTAGTAGCTTTGCCAGACAGTGGCTAGGGAAAAGTCCTTGAAATGGACCGAGCTTTGGTGGTACAGCTGATTGTTCTCTTTGTACAGAAGGAGGAGTAGCTGTGTTAGAACATCTATGTGGACTCCTGGGCAGAAGCAAATGGCCGGGTTCAGGGAGCTGAAAGGACAGAGATTAGAAAATTGGGGAAAAGGAGGTGTGGGGTAGGAGCACGGGGATGGACATGTGAGAGTGGGCACAAAGTGTGAAGATCTCTGCCTCACATGTCAACACCTACCAGAGAGCACCCACTGCAGAATATGCGCTAAACAACAGTACAGACCTGTGCTGTCCAATATTGTATCCACTAGTTACATGTGACTACTCTAAATTGAAATATGCTGTCACTGTAAAAAATGCACTGGATTTAAGAGACTTAGTATTACCCCCCAAAAAAGTAAAATACTATTTATGATTTTTATATTGGTTATATGTTGAAATTTGCATATATTAGATTAAATAAAATATTTAACCTAATATATGTAATTATTAAATTAATTAACCTAATATATGCAATTATTAAAATTAATTTTACCTTCTTTTTTTTACTCTTTTTAAGGTGGCTATGAGAAAATTTAAAATTACACATGCAGCTCACATTTGTGGCTCATGTTACATTTGTTTCAGGTCGTACTGACATAGACAGAATAGCTTGGCCAGTTGCCAGCAGTCAGCCTCAGTCATTGGTGACCTCAGTGCTGCCATGAGAGGTACACGCATTGGGTGGCTGTGGCTCTGCCTGGGCCTATGAGCATGGCCTACAACTTCCCAAGGTTGATTGACTCCCGCTGCTGCCAAGGTACGGACTGCCAGCAACAGAGACTGATGCTGGGCCCTCCATATGGCACTGTTCTTCTGGAATCTAACCAGACACTTGTTAGCAGATTGATTATTGAGCCCCTTCCATCCTAGAAGGACCAGAATTTTTTGTGTGTTGTTTGTTTTAAATAGAAATAGACATATATTCCAAGTATGACGTTTTTACCTGCAGTGCATCAGCTAACATCATTGTTCAAGGGCTTACAATGTATTTATATGCAATCTCATTTAACATCAAATCAGAGCAGGCAAACTAATTCACAGAAAAGGAAGTGTGGGAGTGGGCATATGACCACGAGGTCCACTGGTCATATCACAGACTCCAAAGCTCCTTGCCCAACAGAGTGTTGAATCCTGCTGAAGATGCAGTTGAAGTGCAATTTTGGAGATGGTACTCTGCAAAGATGAGGTACCATCCTCCAGGATCCAGGATAAACATTGAATCAAAAACCTTTCTATAGTAATATATCCCTAGTAGGAAGAACACACGGGTTCAAAAACTATGGGGTGGAAGCAGGAGAGACCCCACTTAACATGACCCACTGGAGAAAATTGCACTGCTTACCCCCCACAACTCTTTAAGCTCTGCAGGGTAAAAGACCTGGTTCCCAAAGGGGCACACTTTCATCAGGGCACTAAAGAGTCCCATGGGATTGCCATTGCTGCTGGTCTCTGATATTTTATAATAGGCAAGAAGAGTCACCATCTTGGCAGAACTACTTCACTTTGATCATCAGGGAAGAGACAGATCTGCTGTTATATAATAGGAACAGGAAGAAAGACTCGCTTAGGTGCCTTCTTTATCTGAGCCCCTGACACCAAGTAAGCCACTGAGCCATTGAGACTAGTGAAAGTGCTTGCTGAAGCTGAAGAGAATATAGAAAAGTGAGAGAAAGAAGATCATATCACTTGTGATTGTAGAACCAGCCATGGTGGCAGGAGCTGTAATTAATTTGTTCTATTAACCTTGCTTTTCTAAGTTTTTCCCAGAATCCTGGAGGAGATATACCCTGAAATTTACTAAAGAAGTGGATCTGAGGGATGGGTGTGGAAGACATAGAGCTGTTCCACCTTCAAGGATTCCCCGTCAAGAAAGGACTTGTCCTAGCTTCCAAGAGTGCTGTCAGCAACACATCTTCCAGCTTTCAGCTCTTTTTAGGCTTTCCCCTCAACTGCAGAGCGCCACCTCATCCAAGAGCACTCCCTCTCTGGGTGGGACTACATCAAGTGACTGGCTACGAGGTGGCTATAAAGGCCCAGCCCTTTCAGGCCACCAAGTGACAACTCACAGGAGCCCCTATGCCCCAGGGCACTCCCGTAGGATTGACCCACATCACTGCTTGATTTCTCCCTTTTCCTAATCTGCTTCCATCCCTGAGTGTGCACAAGTACTGATTCCTTACAAAAATCCTGCATGCTAAACTCAACTCCATCTCAGAGTTGTGCATCTCTGGAGAACACAACCTGAATCATTACCCTAAAAGTTCGGTCCTCTGTTTTATATACTTCTCCCTATGTATGTTCTCCTCTTAAACACTCATTCATTCCAAATCTTACATCTTTAACTAAGCTCTAGACTAGTATTTCCTTCTGCCCATTTGTTATTTTCACTGAGTATCCCGACATCAATTCAAGCTGCTTAAAACGAACACATCTTCCTCCTTGTAATATCCTAATTGCTGCTAATGATGTCCATCTTAAGTTCTTCCCCATACACCTACGGTATTTTGAGCTCATGATCTTATTGTTACCTTTAACACCCACATCTGACTTGGCTTTCAAATAGACCTCCTCACTTGCTTGTCAGCCCTCTGCCTGTCTTCTCCCTGCTGCCTCTTCATCTTAGCCCACTCTTGCACAGTGTCCTAATCATAGTAGGTTCTCAACTATTATTACTATTTTTTAATGAATGATGACTTCCTGGCTATAAGGAAGATTTTTACTCTGGCATTTCCATCCTCCCAAACTGTCTATGTACTACAGTCACACTGCTAGTCCACATTGCAAACATAACTCTCATTCGAATGAACTTTCTCTTCTAAGAAAGAGAAAGTTTTCTCTTCTCTATTTCTCATGTCTTTCTCATCTCTATTTCCCTAAGGATACCAGTCAGACTCTGGTCCAGTTGTTAAAGCTTTGCAATATCTGAACTCGTTTTCCTCCCCTGATTTGTCATCTGTTCCTGAAGGTAAATCTTCTGTTCTTAACAAGGTCCTTCTGCCCTGCACAGCAGAGGGTAACTTGGTCCCAATTTGCCTTTCCGCAAACTGTTCCATAACGTGGACTATGGAGTGCTCCTGCCAACTGAAATTCTCCCTCTCCCTGAATGACACGTTTTCCACTGTTTCTGCCAGCCATCTGAACTCCTATGGAGTGGACTTTATATGACTCATTTTTGCACTTCACATACATCAGTAAACGTATTTTAAGTGGCTACTATGTTTCAGGCACTAAGCTGCATGTTGGGAACATGGAGAGTAATGAGTTTTCTGTTCTCAGGGAGTCCCGAGGAGGGAGTAGATGCATAAATGAGTTCAGGGAGATCTGAACGGTCTCTGATAAATGTCTGTGTTGGGCATAAAAGAGCAGGTAATCAATTTTTGGGATAATGGGAAACGTGACAGAAAGGGTGCGTTTGTGGGGTGTATATGCTGGGCAGAAGGGGCAAGTAGAAGACAAGTTTGGAAAATGGAGTAGCAGATAAAATCTAAATAACCTATTTTGTGGACGAGGGTGGACATGGGAGGTAAAGAGAGACTGCTTGATGAGCAAAAAGGCTCTAGAAGTTGGGTGTACCCAGATCTTAGGCGACCTTGTGTGGCATTCTAAAGAGTTTGGGTTTTATTTTGGCCATGAGGAAGGAACACCATGGAAGATCTTTAAGTAAGTGAGTAACCATGATCAAATTTGAATTTTAGGATGATTACACAATCACATATTATTGTTTTACTTTCAAAAATATAGATCCAGTCTCCAGACATAAAACAAGTTGTTTGAAGACAGTGTCTTGCATAGGAGAGGAGATTAAGAAGAATGTAGTTTCTTGTATCTTCTTTCCACTGCCAATAAAAGTTGTGTTTTGTTTACCTTAAGCCATCCTCTTTAAACAGACAGGCAGATATAAGTACCGATATGTACTCATATATTTTAAACATCAAATCACACAGATTCTGCTTTAAGCAAAGTAAAACAAGAATACTACAAAGCAGTTGAATTAAAGGATACTACTTACAAGGGATTAGGTTTGTCTGTGTACAAATATCCTCCTAAATTTCATTTACATGGAGAGTTCCTCCCTGGCCTTCATGTTTGTTTATACAACATGACTAGATGAAGGGGTTGAATAGCTGAAAAAGTAGTGTTGTAAGCATCCTCACTTGGGGATCAATCATAGCAAAGTTAACACATCTTTGAAATGATAATGTAATGAACCATTTCATAGGAACTGGCTTCACACTTAACTTTTCAAGCATGTTATCTGTTACACAGAGGGAGGGAGGTATTCTTTGCGCTGTGACAGCATAAGGGATTGCGACTCAGGATGTTAAGAACAAAGGATTTACACAAAATGCAACAGTTGATACAACTTAGAAACCGGTTTTACTCTGCTGCAAACAAATGGACAAGATATTGTACAATATATAATAAAAAGTACAGCATAATACAAGTGCCACTAATAAAAGAAACTTAAGGATAAGAATTAAAAATGCTTATTTGTAATATATATATATACACACTGCAATAAAAAGCCACAATAAATACACGAATTTCCATGTCATTCATAATAAATACTGAAAATATAAATACAGAAGACTACAGCTAATATGAATAAATTATTACAACATAAGGTCCAGGTTAAGTTCTGTTGAATATTATTGTAGCTTATTTTATATACCCTTTGGCATCTTTGATGTTATAACTTACACACAAGAGAAATCAATCTAGAAACTGGGCGACATACAACATGGCATCTTAGTGTAATATGACTGTATGTATAGATTGTAGTTTGATTTTCATCCCTTTCCACCTTTTTAAGTCACTAGATTGAAAATAACAGTAATAAATATCTATTGCAGTACTGTTGATATTGAGTAAAAGTAATAAAAATCAGTCAAAAGATAAAACCAATCATAATGTCAAAAAATACTTTACAGTGCAGTGGCTTTTCTGAGTTTTAAAAGTTACCATTTTTTGTTTGTCAGCAACAAACAAACCAACAAAAAACAAAAGAGGAAACGAATATTCTCAAAAGACTTCCCTTGTGTAAGGACCATTCCCAATGTCTGAATGGTTCAACAAAGACTGAAGGATAACACCCAAGTGCTTTGGATCATTTGATCTATCAATACATTCAGCTCACTAGATTATACCAGAAATTGCAAATGTACCAAATTTCTATGGCAGCTGGAAAGTGGAGACTTAGTTGATGTCTAAAACTATGAGCAAGATAAAGACACTGCAAAAAGTGATATTTGTCTATGCAACCAATTATACATATATATATTTTTTAATGGGGAAAATGTATTTTTGACCAATGTCAAGTGATCTTTTTATCAAATCGATATACCCTGTGACACTGAGGGAAACACATTGAAATAACAAAGTGCCATTTTCTGCATTAACAGGCATTAACCAGTACATATGTATTAATAGTTCTATCTTAAGAGGCTATTACACCAGAAATGCAATAAACTAAAAATAAAAGCAGATCAACTTTACTAAGACACAATAAAGGCTGAGGTTCTTAGGAACAGAGTTGTAATCTACAGGTTTAAAATTTTTTGTTTTTTTTTTTTAACTATTTCTGTACTGTAAATGTCTAGCATTTATTATACATCAAACACTTTTGAAACATGTTTCACAAACTACGCCTCAGACTCATTTCCATAGAGGTGCCTAACGTCAGTCAAAACATGGGCCAAATTTTATTCAACATTCTTTACATGAGCATTCTATAGCATTTGTTTTCTAACAAAAAGGGTCATCTTCCCCTAGTGTTATTTGTGGGGAGCAACCACTCTGATGTGGCTGTCATTTCACAAGAGCATCTGAGTTGGGGACATAAGCATAATCTGTACCTAGATTCTAAAAAAATCCCATGGAGAAAGGAAGCATTGATTTTGAGGGTGCTCCTCATCTTCCGGTAAGTTCTGACTCTGAGTTAAAGTCAACTGTGAGCAAACAGAAAAAGCTCTAAAAGCGGCAGGGTCCTGGAGTCAGATGATGTAATCAGAAGAAGAAAAAAAAATCACCATTTTCCCGGACTCCTCCCTTTGTTTTCGGGCCTTGTCAAGATGACAAATTTTTAAATCATTTTCCTGATCCCTGAGAAAGCAAGCAGCCATTGTTTAGATAACACAAGCACAAAGGCTGGGATCAAATGGTGGCTGAGTAACTCCTCTGGAGTCACTTCACAGATAGTCATGTCTTTCGCCAAAAGGAATGGAAAAATTTGGATTCTTATTTGTCATTTTAGGGTAAAGAAAGATCAATGAGAAGGTACTTGTTTAAAAGCAACAATGGAGAAGATGCTTACTTTTGCAATTATAACTTCTCAGAACACTGAACAGTTTAAAAGTCAAGTCACTTCATCCTAGTTCTGATGTTTGTCACCGGGGATCTGAAACGGTCACTTTTCCTGACGTTACTTTCTGACATAAAAATGACAAACGACAAAAAAATAAATAAATAAATAAAACCAACTACAGCCACGTCTGTCAAAAGCAGGTCATGTTACTGAGCATTGTCTCTGTATCCAGATCTTTCTTTAAAAATCTGACTTCTTAGGAGACTTAGAGATTATCATCAAATGTGATCATCATCAAATGTAGGGGGCAACCCAACTTCCCTTGAATCCCCTAGTACAATGGCCTAAATCACCACAACTGTTGCCAGGTGCCTGAATCACAAAAAGCGGGCCAAGATATTTTCTTATTGTGAGAAAACCTAAGAAAGCTGAATTGTGTTGCCAAGGAAACCACCTTCCCTAGAGATGTTAAGAATAGATGGCTATCTATCCTGGTGGGCATGCCTGAGTGACAGTCCTCCCTGGAGGTAGATGGATGAGCCACATGACCTCTGGAGATCTCTCCTACTCTCAGGACTATAAAACCTGAAGAATACAGAAGAATCTCAAACTTTCCATTATTCACACACAGTTGGCCATTGTGAGTATCTGTGAAAAGATTAAACTATTCTGAGATACCCGTTTGGCATGACTAGTGCCTAATGAAATCAGAGTTCAAACGGTAACCTTTGGCAGTGGACTCTATTTGATTGTGGTACAAATGAATTAACTTTGCCAACTATTAAATTAAAAAATTTCTCATGTTCAGATATCACTTGGGTACCATTACATCACTCAAGGATCAACATTAAAACAAAACAAAACAATACAAAAACAAAACAAAACAAAATTCAGGCAACAATGTATTTCCTAACTTCAGATATTTAGGTTTTCACTTTTTGGGAGAATTTGGATTTGCATTGTATTCTTTCCTTCTCTTTTATATTTAAATAAAGCTGCAAAATGTATATAAAGCTTTAGATTTGCTTTAAAGGTGAGTGGCTTTTTTAATGGCTAAGGAAAAAAGCTTGGTGGCCGGCATGGAAAGGAGGAACAAAACAAAATTGGATAAGATGTGCTACAAAGTTAGAAATTTTGAAAGCTGTTTTCATAGGTCCCTTATGTAGAGACAACAGCAAAATCACTACTCAGAAACCATGCCCCTGAAAAGGGTGTGGGTGGTCTTATAGTGTGGGAATAGGACTTGGCAAAGATCTATGGTGATAGAAGCACCTACATAATCTTTAAAGAGACATTTTCTAGGTCCATTTTCTTCCAAATACTCATTAACAAATAACTTTTAAGATAACGCCAAGACAGACAGGAATATTGGGAGAAAGCCAAAAGAGAAAAGAAAGAAATACCTAACAAAGAAGCTATTCCAAAATTACAACTAAAACCATTCAATCAGGCCACATTAATTACTTTAGACAAAGGCAAGGCTAATTTCTACCATAAATATGTCTTTTCCTAACTCTTTCTAATCAATATACATTATCTTAAAAATATTTAAATGGCCTCACGCATGTCACTAAAATGAGTTATTGAACTCACTTGACTATCACCATGGCAGTGAGTAATGCAAAGAGAGGAACTGCATTATTAGCATGTTGAATACAAATATTGTCCAAAATAAATTCTATCATATTCCTTTGAAACTTTAGTCCTGCCAGAACTTTTGTGAGAGATGAAATAAGATGACACAGTGGAATCGACTTTTCTTCAATTATAAGCAAGTGTAAAGGATCAAATAAAAAAGCAATCACTCTGTATAGTGATATATTTATTACAAGTGAAAGAAAGTAATCGCTGTGACTTAAATCTTTGAAATTACTTCATTTTTCATGGATGCAACAAGTAGGTATCTATATTTACTAAAATTCCAGGCTAGATATTAATATGATTTTTGAAAATTTACATATAAAAATGAACTGAAAAGACATACTGGTTTGGGCTTTGAATCTGCTTGCATGCACTCTCCTGCTTCTCATCATTCTATCTGAATCACTAAGGAAACCCAAGGCATGCCTGACAGCACATGGTTAGACTAGCCCCGGGACCGATCACCAGGTAAAACTCAGGTCATGTCAAGCTTTCCAGTTCGAATTTCTGTTAAGAGAGAAAAGGTAAAACAAAGCACCTGCGTTGTTTGGAAAAAGGGTCTCACGGTCTAGCTTGAAAAGCCACGAGGAGCCAAAGTAAAGCATAGAAGTGACTGTTTTAAAGAGTCACATTGAATATACAGATTTGGCAAGTATAATATTAAAGAAGAGCTCTTTTATTTCCACATTCCTTACTTTCAACAATAATGCAAGTGATTTATCAAGTATTTTAATATAAAATGAATTTAAATTTCCTAAAAAATAGTTTCTTTGCTGTAAGTCTGTGTTTATATTTTCTAAAGCATCCAATGACTTATAGACAGCAAAAATGTAATTGATGTGGTTGTTGGTCAGCAAATGTGAGCAGCAACTGGGCAGTGAGGGTGTCCACATTGTAACCATTTGTTCTAGGTCTGGGGCTGCTGTTTGTGATTATAGCCTTTCTAGTGTAATAAGACCTAGCCCATCTCTGCTGAAACTTTTTTTTATAGTTCCTAGAAGACGCCACCACTTATTAAGCTTATACTCCATCCTCACCCCCACCCTGATACTTTCATAATTCTAGTGAATTTTCAAACTGCTGATATTCAGTCGATTAAGTCACTTAAATTCCTTAATGCTGCAGAAAACATCTGAAAAACTGTGCTATTTGCACAAAGCTGTGCCATCGTGGCTTAGGTATTTATGTTATTCTGGCACAAGTTAGCAGATCTCAGAAAAAGTAATGCGATGAGAAGTTGCAAATTTGTATTGGAACTAAGAGGGATATCAAGGCTTCAAGCTATTGGTGTTGGTCATGGTAAGGGTACAACAAATAATTCCAATTTCAAATTACAGTCAAGTCTTGCTTTCAAAGCACCAAGGTGCATCCTATGTAAGGTTGGTATTTAATACACTGGCTATAATAATACTGTAATCTGTCTTCAAGAGAATAAGGAGCAGATACCATTTGAAAGAGAGACATTAAGGTTATATTTGGAGAAACAGACGGCATCGTGGCACCTTTTAAAAAGGCAGTCTCTTGTTGGCTTCTGAGGGTGTCAATTTTCCACCTACTAATTCGACGGTTTGTAACTGCAGCTAATGAGAGGTATCTAGTGACCTCTCTGTTTTCCACCTGCTACAAGGTGATGTCTTTGGAACTTGGGACAGGAGTTTGCTATTTTGATAGGCTATTCATAAATAGAAGAGTGATTGTGTTCCACATTGTTGTTTTAAAAGTTTCCTGAAATATTTCCTGGGTTATGCATGAGTCAAACCCACTTTGAAAGTGTCAGGTAGGAGTTTGCTGGTATAAATTTAGCATCACTTACGCAGGGCTAACTAACACTGAAGAAGCAATTAGTTGACAATTTCTTTTTCATTTGATTCTGTCCTGTCTGAGTCCAAATTTAATTCATAAATTTCAGATGAGGAGAGACAAATGAAGGAGGATCTAGTGAGTTCTACTAATTTAAGAAAAAGAAGTATCTTTCTAGTTGCAGCTTACATATAATTAGACAAGAATTGATGTCAGTTTTTCTAATATCACTTTACAAAACCACATATTAAAAGAGTCTGAATAGGCTTGATTATTTTATGTCATACTTCATTAACATCCTTTAGAATTTGTAGTGTTTCCTCTCTTTTTACTACCCATGACAGTTTTTCTAACATAGCAAGTGTTCAGTACATATTTGTTGAAAGAAAGAATTGATACTTACTAAATTTGTAATATCAAGACCAAAGGTTTGTAAACTTATACAACAATGTAAAAAATTTAAATAAAAGAACCAGTGATATATTAATTTATAGGAAATCAATTATAATAATGGCAACAAAATCAGAATTTTGCCAAGAATTTTTCTGTTAAGAGTATAAAAATTTAAAGAACATCATCACCTAACATAATCTCTTTGCTTTTTCATTAACACTGGTTAATTTGTAACCAGTGTTTCTGCAACTCATAGTTCTTTTTAGGGGCTCTGGGGTTGCTGGGTGGGTGAGTATTACTGGAGGCATATATAATTATGAAGATTTTATCACGCTAAGAAACATCAGTTTCACATTGTATATGTGGCCAATACATGGGGAAAAATATAGTTTTATCACAAAGGAAAAGACTGGCCTTCAAAAAGTAACTATATTATTCAACCTACCAAAAGATATGAGACAAATGGATTTTACCTATGTCTTAATAATTGATGATCAAGAGATGGGCAGAAAAACTTAACATAAATCTTTTTTATTGACTTCTTTCTCCCAAGGAAATCTAGAATGACAAAGGAGATGAAAGCTGCCCTAGCCACTTGACTTGCAAATCAATTTGGCCAGGATTATAACTGGAAATTAAGCCCCATTTAAAGGTATAGGTCTGGTACTAAAACAACAGGGACTGGAGCATGAAGCTTTGTAATTGACAGTGAATGACTAAAAAGCTGTGTGTCAAAATAGATGACAATTTGGTTAGAGGGCCAATACAACAGCTGCAAGACAGGTTATTGTGTCTTGGTATAAAGATCTTAAGTATCCCAACTGGCTGCATCTAGCTTGATCCCCATTTTTAAAAGCTCAGAATGACTGTAGCACTTTCCTGGCATGTGGGCCGTTTTTGTTGAATAGAAGGGCTATTAACTGGGGGAAAAAAGTCAAATGGAACACTATGCCCTCTCAGCTTTTCTGGGAAAGGAAGTAACAGTGAAATGATTTCATCATTAGTATTACTTGCAACTTTGATCTAATATTTTCAAACTATACCTTTACAGATTATTCTCTACTTTAGACAACATTTTTAGATCATAAAATGCAGTAAGATTATGGGGTGGGAAAAACTCAGTACTCATTACTGGCCATTGCCTAAAATCTGTTATTCTCTAGTGTGTGGTGTGCATGTAGTGTGTGTATGTGTGTGTTAGGTATATGGGAGTGTTTTGATAGGTAGCCTGTGTGGAAGATGTTTGTGGGAGATGTTTTGGGGTTAGTTAGGTATATGAAAATTTGGAATAGAAGCTGTCATTGTTGGAGGGTTAATTCTTCTTAGGAGGGCAGCGACTTCCTACCCAATTGGGCAGATAGGGAAAAAAGCTCTGTTTTTTAAAGCATTCCTTTGGAAACAAAGGTACAAAACAAAGACCCAGCCGAACATTAAAAAGTAGGCTTCAGACCTTCTTGTGAAAATAAAGCTGAACGAAAATTAAAATATCTGTCTTTTCAGAAACTGGACTGTCATTCTACCCTTCAGTTCTGCTCTAGCCAGAGTCAGCTCTTCCTCACTCTCCCACTCTCTATGTTCCAAGAATAACCTCAGAGAGCGTCACACATGGATCCTTCAAGAGCTTGACACGGCCCAGCAAATAAAGCACACATGATTCTTTCATGTGCTTGAATGAAGGAACAATAGCCTCTTGACATTTTCTCTTTGGGCCTCCGCTCTTTAGATTGTATTAGTAGGTGAAAAAAAATCGGAGATTAAGCACTAAAAACTGTAACTTTGCAGATAACACAGGATACACTGTTGAGATTTGAGCCAAACCCTCATCTGATCAACCCAAAGGACTAATCATTTGAAAGGAACATCCCTACCCTTATTACTGCTACCTACGGAGAGACAAACCCAAAGCTCTTTTAATGTTAATCTTAATAGTTATACATTTGGCCCAGTGGTGGGGTAGAGAAGAAGCAGGAACCAACTGCACAGTGAAAGAGCTGCCAAGTAAACACATTTTCCCCAAATCAAGCTTTAGTAGAAACTTTTCCATTGGAGGACTTTCCCTAGATCAAGCATTTTAAAGTTCAATTAAATAAAAGGATTTTTTTAAGGAATTGAGATCTACAGTATATTTTATATTCATAATTCTAAATATCCAAGTCTAAAAGACATAAAAAAATAAGTAGTGATGCAGTCACTGAATAGCAAGGCATGTCCACGTTTCAAATAGTTATAAAACACGTGAAATGATATAACAATAGAAGGCCAAAAAATGTGAAACAGAGTTAGCATAGTTATATTGCATTGGAAAGAAAAGGTAGAATACACTATTTAGTTACCTAAATTAATTTACAGGAAAATGGGATCCTAGAAGTCCTCCGACGAACCAAGTGCAGGTAATCTAAAGGTGGGGAGTGCATGTTTTATTTCTATCTGTTCCCTTTAATAAGAGAACATGAGGTAATTAGAAAGTATGCAATGCATTCTGGACTGTTCTGCTAGTTGTCCCAGGCAAGACAAATCAAAATGCTTCAGAAAAGTAAGGCCTAGTTGAGTATTTGGGTAGAGGCCCCCCCTTCAATCAGATAGTCACTAAGTGGAAATCTCATTATACACTTATTTTGCAGAGATGGGTTGATCACGCTGTAGAGAAAGCTGGTTGCTGAGGTGGTGTCTCTTCCGTGTTTCCTCAGCCTCCTCTGCGTTTATTGAGTTAGGTCCTCAGAGTGGTGAAGGAAAATAGGTCATTTTCCTTCATAAGTATCATTGGATGATTCCTCTATATTAGTTATATGAACCTTATAATAGTTAAAGATATTAAAAAAAATTTTTTTTTCATCTCAAAGAGTTCTCAGTCCCCACCCCACACGAGGTACCGTGAAGGGGCACTAAAGTGCATTTTGATGTAGGGGGTAGAGTTTAAAGGTGCTGCCCAAGCTAAGAACCAAGATGATGCTGTTTAAAAAGAAAGGCAATTCCTTCTACCTCCATCTCTGGAGTCAATGGAGGGAGGGAAGTGAACTAGACCCTCCCGGGAGGATTGTCCTAACTCTTAACTTTAGAGAAAACTGTGTAAGGACCTGCACATATAGACTCATTTATTTGTCCAAAATAGCAAAAAATAGGCCTATTTCACCCTTAAGAAAGTATTTGCAAATTTGATGAGTCATGATCACAAAAATGTGAATGGATTCCAGATGCAATCCATGTGGGCATGCTCTGTGGTACTAGCTATGCATCTTCAGTTTGAATGAACATGCTGCTGTTCATTTTCATCAAAACATGACTTCTAAACTACCATAAATAAAATACACATGGAACAATTAAATCTGTTTCTTACAGTAATTACTTTTACATTAAAAAGTCACCATCATCTTCAGATATATCGAAAATTAGGACTCTAAATCATATCATTTCCCAGTCTTAGTTAACAATCTTGCACAGGCCCGATAATCCAAAACTTGGAGCTCTGATCTACACAGCTTGGCAGGTTTCACACAGTTTGACAGGTAGGCAACTGTGAGATATGCATTTTAAAAATTTAGCATTTTCTATCAAAACAGTCTGAAATCTTTTAAAATCCCTATAGAGACTGTATTTGTGCAATGCCACAGTCATGTGGCTAGAAAGGAGAAAACAAAATACAGTCTGGAAGATTAACCACAGTCCAAGATTTCTTAGTCTTCAGTTTAAACAACGATGAGCCCAGGAAATCCAATTAAATACAGTGCCTTAAATAGGAGAAGAGTTGGTCCTAGAATAATTTAAGCGACTAAACAGGGACTGTCTCCACCACGGGTGATTTGATGCACTCTTCATGCAATCTGCTCTTTTCTGCAAGGCTCAAAGAATTTTCAGCAGGGTGCTCTGAAATGTGACTGTCACCATTCAATGTAGAGACAAACCCTTCCTGGGAGGGGCCTTTCAAGTATGAGTGAAATTCCACTTGAGGATGACTGGACCTGTGTTCAGGATATAAGCTATTGCAGGGCACACCGCTGTCGTTTTCAGAAGAGGAGCAGCAGACGATCACAGAGGGGTTGGCAGCCGGGTAGTGGGAGGCACCGTAGGCCTCTTCTGCTTGTCGGGCGTAGTCAACGAATTGCTCCGGCGTCATGGTGTAAGGCACCAGCGAGAGGGTACCGTTTTTGACAGTATCTCTTTCAGGATAGTTCTCAGAGATCTGGTTAGGAGTTCCTGGAATGTGGCTATCTATTTGGTAATACAGAGTTGAAGAGTTGGCATAAAAAGAAGCATTTTTTGCGTGGCTTTCGTGAACGGCGGTGCCATCAGAATAACAAAGGACCGAAGGAAGAGGGACAACTTCGGCATGGGTGCCCAAACCGTCCACGAAGCTGTCTCCTTTGTCATCATCCTCCTCCTCCTCCTCTTCTTCCTCTTCGTCCTCCTCCTCCTCCTCGTCTGACTCACTAGGCGCCAAGCTCTGTGTGCTAGAATCGGTGACTCCGCTGCAAAAGCTGCTCCCATCTTCCTCCTCTTCCTCCTCTTCTCCTTGGCAATCTAATTCCTCAGCAGACTGCAGGTGCAGCACCGCGGCCTGGGGTTCAGTTTCAATCTCAAAATTGTCTGCGATGGAATATTCTACGGAGTGGGCGACAGGGCCCATGGAACTACTGTGAGCACTTATCTCCCCGTGGCAGCCGTTCAGCGTGGGGATTTGCTGCTCTCGGTTTTTCTCCAGTTCAAGCTTCATTATTGTGTGTAAAAAGTGAGTCCGAACACGGATAGGATTAAATTCAATTCTACCTGCTGTGTTACTACATCCTTCTTTAGTGCAGCCACACGGGAAAGACATACGGTCCACCTTGGAAAGAAGAACGCAGATTAGCACCCTGGAACTATTATAAACCAAACAAAAATCCAGTACCTTTCAGTAACCCTTTGAATTAAGTAATCTACTAAATCCCACTTATGCCAGAGCAAATGACAGTCAAACTGCAAATACAAAGGAAAAGAGGAAGTTAAGGATTAAATATAAGAAGTAAGTAGTTTTTAAAACTATCTTCAAAATAAAAATGGGCTACTAGTACGAGTGTGTATTTTTAGCTCATTGACCCCCTCTACAGGAATTTTTTTTTTTTTACTTCTTTCTCCATTTACCCCTTTTCTCTTCTCCCCATCCCATTAATTTTGCTCCCATTTCTTCAGGGCTTCTATCCTTCCCCCAAGCTCCTTTTCCTTCTGCTGCATCCCAGCTCACATGCCCACTTTTAAACAAGCAAACTTACTATATTCCTTTCCCACATGTTATTTTTAATCTAACTTATATTACCCTCTTCATGTTAGCTATATCCTTTTCTCTTTGTTATAAAATGAACTTCCCTGCCCGAGGTGTCATTCTGGTGTCATTCCCTCCAGAATGACACCACTTAGTATCATGGATCCTCTTCACTTGTTAACCTTCTCCTTCTTCTGGGTCCTTGTTACATGGGTGCACTTGTGTGTACTGTTGTGATGGGTATGCACATGCACGAATGACTGGTGAACTCACATTTAGGTCCTAGCTCTTCCCCTTCTCTCCCCACTCCATGAGACACAAGCATCTCAAAGGAAGGGGATGTACTCTTCATCAATATCCCTAAACTATCTGAGTCACTGATACTTGGAGATAGAGTGATCAGGTTCAACAAATGTCGTTGGACTGACCTCTTCATTGGGGGGGGGGAGGTGGAGTTCTAAGCAATCCAAGGGTACTCATATTTGCCAACTGACTCAGACCTACAAATTAACCTGTATGCAGACCAGAGTACATACTACAGACAAAACTTGCTCTGCTTCTCACCTTATCAAACACAAGGAGTTTCCTATTCTACCGCAGAGAAGGTAGATTCAATGCAGTTATCCTGGTCCCAAGCAACAGTAGATTCAGAGATAGAAGAGGCAGCTGCTATTTTATTCATCAATCTCTTTTCTTTGAATCCATCTTATGTAACTGTTCAGCTGATAGGAACTGTCTTCTTTGGCCTGCCTAAGTGGCCCTCCTGATTGAAAAAGCCAAGTTTCTGCACAAAATAGTAACACCTAACTAAAGACAGAGCACCAATGATATCATGGATGGATGTGGACCAGAGAATTATCTGGTTACCAATCATCAGGGGTTGGGAAACTTTCTTTTTTTTTTTTTGCAAAGGGCAAGAGAGGAAATATTTGAGGCTTTGTGTGCCATACAGGCTCTGCAGCAACCAGAGTACTCACCTTTGCTATACGAGCACAAAAGCAGTCATAGACAGTATGTAAAGAAAAAAACATGGCTGTGATCCAATAAAACTTTATTCACAAAACCATGTGGCAGGTCAGATTTCGCCAACCCCTGACCTAGTCCAGCCTCGACATTTTAGAAATGAAGAAAGTGAGCCCAGAGAGTTTACCTGACTTGCCAATTTCACACAGTTGGAAAACAGCAAAGACAGGAGTATAACTTAGTTTTCTGAAGTCCCAGTCTAGTAACTCTTCCATAGTCCAATCACCTCCAATCAATTATCGTTTTCTACCCCCTGAATGGATCAGAAAGTACAAGCTCACATGTTAGGGACATCATGATCTCCCTGAATATTTGTAAATAGTCAAAATAAGCTGATTAATAAATGAATTCAAGACAAAATAATTTTAATTAACTCAGCTGTAGCTCGGGCTGCCTTTCATATTATATCTTATATGTAGAAGCGTTTTTGTGCATTCCCATGGATGTCCTTGAATTAGTATTTCTCTCTTCCTGAATTACACATCTTGCCTTGCCACAACGTTTTCTTTTATGTGTGGGAAGCTTCATTACAGGTAACAGGACTACTTTTTTAAGGGGTGGGGAATAATGCCTGTCTTTGGATGCTCTGAAATCCAAATCCTTACCTGGCACTTAATGCCTGCCAGGCTGCAGGTACACGTGTCTGGGTCACAAAACACTCGGCAGTCGCAGCCGCAGTCCTCTCGCGAGAGGCGGATGGCTCGCAGCTCGTGCTTTTCTTCCACATCAATCTTTTTCACCCCAGAGGCGCGCAGCAGGGCTCTTCGTTTTTTTGTTGGCAAGGGTTGTAGGAAGAAGTACTCGTCTACCTCTGTGTTGTCTAAATCAATGTCATCATCAGAAATATCATCCACTGTAAGAGTGCTGGCTTCCTCCGATTCCACTGTGCCATTCTTAGTCATCTACAAACACAAAGCAGCAAACAAGGGACTTAGCAGGGGCAGGGCGCAAAATCTCTACTTTCACACTTGGTGAGAATGAACTGTTATATGTCATCGTGTCGCCACAACCAATACGTGTGAGTTAGATCATTTTCCTTTTATCTTTCTCCGCAGGAGAAATCACAGAAAGGCAAACAAAAGACATCAAAAATGACAGGCTTTTAAACGTGGTAACAGACGCCTGTTAATTGGAACTCTTAACCTCCGAATGTTAGGAGCTACAGTTAGAGCTTTTAGCCACTGTCACGTCTAAAAGACCAAAGGTTACAGATGCCCATCAGTGAAAGCTATCTTTAGACTAAGTTCATAACGGGCAGCTCTGATGTGGGAATAAATGTGTCCTTGTTCAGAGGTGACAGCGGTTAGTGGAAGCCATCCCCACCTAACTCAGCAAACATGTTGTCCTTGAAATGACAATCCTGTCTTTGGGGCTCCAGGAAAACCATGCACCAGGAAATAAACTTGTGCTGCACTGTGCTGTTGGGATTATGAACACGATTATCCCACAGAACATTCCAAGAATGAGGTCTTGATATGAAGTAATCAGTCAGGTCAGCATGCTCTCTAAGACAAGGAGCAAGAGCAGGGCCAGCGAGCTCTCAGCAACCCACAACTGAAACAATAAACTTGGCCCTCAAAGGAGTTCACGACAACCTTTGCCCAAAGCGATACCCTCTGCATAATAGCTCACATAGACAACCATGTCGCACATAGGCCTGACTATTCTGCTTCTACTTATATTTCCTTTCTAAATTAATCACATCCATCAGTAGGCCCTGAATCAGTATTTCGTTTCTTCCCATTAAAGCACCACATGTTATGTTTCCTTTGTACAAAAAGCATTTTAGATAAAGAAGTTTTCTCTGATCATGAGCAAGAAATCTATTCTGAGAGGCAGCAGAGGAATAAATGCAGAAACTCTATGAGAAAAAATCAGGGAGGTTCTAAATGTGGAAGCTATTTTAATTCTTTAATTTTTAAACTTATTACCTCCTAACTTTAATTAATTGTAATTATTACTATGCTTGGTGATCTTAACTTTTTATCCATTACACAGTTAAAATACTCTGATGACATCCAACATCATTGTTTCATCTTCATAGGAAAAAGTCCAACATTTAGATAAGCACATGTAATCCTGGAAAAAACTCAAATTTATTATTACTCTCAAAAAACTCTCAAATTATTAAAGAACAAATAGAAGATTGGACTTTACCCTCAAGCAGACAACTTTCATAGAGGAAACAACATAGTAACAAGTGTATATTATATTACAAAGGGTCCCTGAAATGCAGTTTTTTAAAAACAACTTAATTGCATTTTGGAATATTTTAGAGCTTAAACCTGTGATTTTACAAAGATGGACATTCCCCTTTATTGGGTTTTGTTTCTTGGTGCGATCTGGAATTAATGTCATTTTTTGGCATTTCTTTGTATATTTATTGGTTAAACTATGATGTCTACTACTAGGATATTACTTTTGCTGTAGTCATCATTTTTCTTAATTCTTATTTAGTAACAAGTTGCATATTTCTATCTGCAAAGATCTGATTTTTTAAGGAATTCAAGTGTACAATTGCCTAATGTATACTTAATCCTCTGTGGTAGGTAAAGCAACATTAACAACTAGGAAGTGTTCACTCTCCTTTCTTGTCACTCTGTGGCATTTAGATTTGTTTTCATCAATTCTTGGCTTGCCTATGTGAACCTCAGCTGTCTTTGGACTCCACGGCACATGATGTACACTCAGAACTTGGTTAGTATGATTCACTTTAATACTTCCTACTTAGTATCTATGTTCTATAATATTTATGCTTCATTATGCAATTGGTAACATCACAAAAACAACAAAATCTCAATTTTGAATCAAAAGGGCTATTTTTTTTAAAAAAAATGATGGTTGATATCAGACAATACATGAAATCTAAAAGTCAACATGAAGTAAATAAGATTTTAGCAAACATTTAAAAACACATCAAAATTTTTAGGGCAAGATGAACAATCAATTGGCACCTAAGAATTAAAAAACAAACTGTATCTCAAATAAATTACAGATTTAGTTTACTCCAAATATAAGTGCCCTTAGAAATAAAAGCTGCATCTTTTACTCTCTTATGCTAAAATTATAATAAATGATTTTATTTTAGAATAAAAATTCAACTAAGAATCTAAAAGTTTTTTCACAAAGAACTACATTCTGTTTCACTCTTGCTCAAGAACTTATTTGGGTTCTAAGGTTCTAATCTCGATTTTCAAAATCTCATATTAGCAATGAAATGATTTGGTAAAGTTTTCTCTTTACTTGTCCAATATCATCTCTATTGTTTCTAATGAAGACTGGGATTATTCTACTTCAGTCTGGTTAATTGGCAAATCTTCCCTCATCACATTTCTGGTGTGCTGTGTAGCCTTTGAGACAAACCTATTCTTTGCCATCTTCTTGGAAGTCCTTTTTCAGTCTTGGTCTCTAGTCTATGTCCATTTGCTTCTTTAAAACCCAGGCTAAAAGTACTGAGCTTAAATGCTCTTTAGAATAAGAGTACTACCATGATTCCCTGCAAATAAGACCTACTCATAAAATAAGCCCTAGTAGGCTTTCTAAGCATTTGCACAATATAAGCCCTACCCCGAAAATAAGACCTAGTGATGGGCGTGGCTACACAGCGAATTTGCACAACCCATGCATTTCGTCACAGAGCGGTAAAGAAGATGAGCAGCCCTTCTCATCTGTCTCATGAGAGCTTGGGACCAATGATTCTAAAGGAAATAGAGGCATAAGAAAATCAGGATGGAATTCGGGGTTTGGAGAGTTATGATGATGTTCTAGAAGAAGACGACTTAATTATATTTGAATAAATGTAGATTGTTGTACCGTGCTTCAAAAAAATAACACATCCCCTGAAAACAAGCTCTAAGGAATCTTCTTGAGGAAAAATAAATAAAAGACCCTGCCTTATTTTCGGGGAAACATGGTACATAGATTATTCCCAAATATCTTTTCCCATCTTAGAACAATAGGAGAAAAAGTCAATGAGCGCCCTGTTTTTTTCCAACTCATATCATTATGTTCTTAAGATCTAGTGCAAAGAAATCCAGGCAGCCTGCCAGGAATGTCTCCTCTGCTCTTGCTGACTCCATCTACCCCTGACCCATCTTCATTCACAAGAATATTTATTTTGTCCATTTTTTTCTCCTCTTGAAATGAGTGGTACCTTTAAATGCCTTTTTCCTATCTCAAAATAGTATCGTTGAATTTTCAGACTGTAGATCACCAAATGCAGCCTTCTTATTTTATGCCTTAATGAGGCTGGAGTTAATTGTGACCTCTCCAAGACATACCTGTAGAACCAAATCCCTTGACTGATATTTCCATATGCTTTTCCCGGTATCTCACAGACAGATGACAAGTTTTCCATAGTACTCAATACAACGCTGGGACTCTAACACGGAATTGAACCAGGATATTTTAAAAGATATTACATTTATAAAACAACATACATAGTAGCCAGCACTTTCAAATGCAGGCTCTCTTTTGAGGTAGACACTTTCAATCTAGGACTTGGTCCACTTCTCATGTAGTATTCTTTCTCCCAAAATAATGTTGCCTCCCTGAGAGCTCAGAGAAAGTTTGCAAAATATGTGGTTTAAGAAGACTACCAAATAATCCTGGCCCTCAAAATTCCTTTTGTTTCTGTGTATGTTTGTGTGGGAAAGAAAGAGAAATTGAAAGTGGGAGTTAAAGAGAGGTGTTAGAAATAGATTATGACCTGATAATAATATTAATAACAGTTTTTGAATCTGTGTACCAGGTACTGTTCTAAGCACTTTACCTGCATTAGCTCATTTACCGACACAAAATTCCCATGAGATAGATACCATCATTGTATCCATTTAACTGACGAGACAATCCAATGCTTGAGCCATGCTTGCAAGACCAGTTTGGAGTAAAAATTTTTACAAGTAATGATAGAAAAATTGTATGGAAGGGAAAAAAAAAAAAGGATCGGGCTACAGCTGCACTCTAAGAGCTGATCTCAGTGCTATGGTGCAGGAAAGGAAATAGCAGTCCTGATACAGCATAGTAAGTGCAACAAAATATATGGGTGAGTTATAGAAGTGGCGGGGAGGAAGAGAGGGTAGACAGATAAAAAGGAAGGCTGGGTACAAAGACACAAAGCAGATTTATTTACTTCCCAATCTAATTCCGTAGTCCCTTTCAAAAAGAAAAACTTTCAAAACAGAAATGGGAGGACAGACATGTAGGAAGGATTTAAACAAAAAAGGAGGTGGGAGACAGTGAAAGAGGACTCAGCTGTTTTCTGTAAGAATACCCAAATACAGATCATTTATACTGGAGAGCAACGAAAAGCTCGAAGTTATGGTTGCTCAGTCTAACACCTGTGAAGAGTTATGGGGAAAGGAATTAGAAGATGATCAAAATGGGGACAAATTGTTAAAAAAAAAAAAAAAAAGCTAATTCTGGATAACAATATTTTTTTTTTTTTTTTTTGAGACAGAGTCTCACTTTGTTGCCCAGGCTAGAGTGAGTGCCGTGGCGTCAGCCTAGCTCACAGCAACCTCAAACTCCTGGGCTCAAGCAATCCTTCTGCCTCAGCCTCCCAAGTAGCTGGGTCTACAGGCATGCGCCACCATGCCCGGCTAATTTTTTATATATATATTAGTTGGCCAATTAATTTCTTTCTATTTATAGTAGAGACGGGGTCTCGCTCTTGCTCAGGCTGGTTTCGAACTCCTGACCTCGAGCAATCCGCCCGCCTCGGCCTCCCAGAGAGCTAGGATTACAGGCGTGAGCCACCGCGCCCGGCTGGATAACAATATTTTTGAAAGAATTGTTTAAACAGTGTCAGTACCTGTGAAAAAGAAGAGCAGTTATTATTAGACTATTACCTGGGTTTATGAGAGAAAAAGTGTGCATTTTTCAAATAATGCTCTGTTAAGAG